CCAAACAATTCAGTTTTGCAAAAACAAGCTTGCAGAGCTTCAAGGGAAACGAACCGTTCAAACAATGTCATCATCTTCCTCATCCGCCAGTTGCTCCATTGTCTCCTCACCAGCGATGTCTTGAAATTGTCAACCATGCAAGAGGCTCATGTTTTCTGTCTTCTGCTGTTTTCTGTGCACGCAGAGTAAGGATTTATGAAAAAAACATAACCCACAGCGCAGCCAATCGAATGGAAAATCATTGTGTATTCACAAGGATGACACCCTCGTATCACTTTGAGCTAACAGTCGAGCGAAACATTAGCACAGCACTCTGTGGGCCGAGGGGAAACGCGTTACAACAACAGCACATTGTTGTGGAGAAAAATGCACGAGCTTTAAAAAGCCACAGCTTTGTTTGTACTCACAAGTTACAGAGTAGGAAAAAGTGGATAAAGATGATATGAAATGATGATAAGGTTGTTTAACAAAAATGTTGCTGTTGTTTGTTATATGCTCTGAAAATATCTGTGAATGACACAACAGTGAGGTTATAAAAATAATTTTTGATGAATGAAGTCTTTTATCGGTGCCGGAGTTATTCGGCAGTGAAATACATTTTAAACGAGGCATTTCTTGGTTTAGAAAAACTGGAGATTCACATAGTATGAACCATGAATACACAATTCATGTACGAAAAAAAACACCAATGGATTTAAACTGGGGTGAAAGTATAAAATAAAGTACATTATAAAATGAAGTTTTTTTAACTATGTTTGCTCAAACGTAAATGCTTCCCATAATCAACAGCATATTTCGAGGTTTATCTGTAAAACTGCTAGAAAACCATCCTTTAAAATGAACTTCCATCTGAATTACAATGACTTTCGCAGCCTGGATCAGTGTAGCAGTGGAACGAACCGCATCCAATAAACAATCATAGTTACAGAATGCTTGTTTATAGCTGTTCAGAAGAGAGGTAGTCAAAGGCAGGAGAAAGGTTGACCTTTTTGTAAACAGGGGCAGAATGTGATTTTTGTACAAACCACGATCGTGTGTTTTAATGGTCTCCTCTCAGAGGCATTCATGGTGCTGTATGTGAGGAAGAAAATAAGGCAATATAGAGGGAAGAGTTGAATTCCTGCTTCACCTCTGCAAAACGAACCTGCTGCTAAGTTAGGAAACAAATGGTCAAATTCAGACAGCCCAGTTCCAGACTTGTACTACATCCCGAAAATCATACTGTCTGAAGCACACTTTCTTTTTAATGCTAAAGCAATAATCCCAACCTGTTGTAAGCAGCTTTTCATGCTTGAAAAATGCATTGAAACCTGCTGCTCTATCAGTCTCTGTTGATAGTGATGGTTAGAGTTTTATATCCCAGCGAGTTCCTTCCACCTCTCAGGCCTTTCTTTCATGCTTCTCATTTCTGGTTTCTCAAATCAACTGACCAACAAAGATCTGAGGTGATTTCCTTTCACGCTTCTCACTTCAGATTTCACGAATCAATTGATCTCCCTGTTCTGTAGTAATTAACCTCATGCTGCTTTCTGCCCTTTGTAAAGGATTTCCTCGTGGAAATGGAAAACAGGCTAGCATTTATATACAGCTTTTCTACTTGCACTCAGAGATCTTTAGGCCACAAGAACACTGACTAATGCATTCATCCAGCTCTTTATTTTTGCACTAAAAGCACTTTATTTACATCAAACCTTTACCCCAACCCAGAGCCTTTTTGCTGCATGGTGACTGTGCCACTGTTAAAGCTACTGACTAACTCTTTAAATTTTGGTACTTTAGACATAAATAACCTTGTGACAAAGTGCTCAAGGGAACCATATTTGAAAAGTAAAGAGTTTAGAG